ATGGCCAGGCCAGACGGCATGCCGCCCACAAGTTGGGAATATACATTATTATTATTATTATTATTATTATTATTATTATATTTATAAAAGCAGCCACTGAATCCTCGAAATCTACTGAGACTATCAGCTCAGAGCAGAAGGGAGCACAACTCGGCTGCAAACTACACGGCTATTATTATTATTATTATTATTATAAAAGCAGCCACTGAATCCTCGAAATCTACTGAGACTATCAGCTCAGAGCAGAAGGGAGCACAACTCGGCTGCAAATCTACACGGCTTCCGATATCGCGATGGTTTCCCGGCGCACCTGGAGAAAGATCGGACTACCGGAACTCAGACAGACAATGAAGACTGCCAGCAATGCTTTGAGTGGTAGGCTTCAACTACTTGATGAATTTGAACGTGAGATTTAGATAGAAGGCCATCGTGATTGTGGTATTGTCCATCTTGCTGATTGTGAGCCAAATCTCCTGGGCATAGACAGAGTGGATCGGTCGCATCTTTCAACATTGTCAATGGACAGCTTATGCAAATCAAAACCAACCCAAACCTTGAGTATCCGGGGCGAGTAAGCCCGTCGATGCCGCGATCCTAAGACTACAACAGAAATATGAAGACGTTTTCTGAGGAGGTCCTGGATGTTGCTCCAAAGCAAAGCGGTGCTCCATCTGTGTCCGGAAGTCCAGCCAGTTTTCAGACCTAAAAAGCCAGTTCCATACGCGGTCATAACAATCCTTGATGCCAAACTCAAGCGCTTTAAAGGCTTTGGAGTCCTGAGGCCCGTGAGTTACTCCCCATGGGCTGCACCAATCTTGGTTGTCAAAAAGTCAAAGGGTGCTGCATGTAGCTGCGCCGATTACTCTACAGGTCTGAATGATGCCCTGGACAGTCATTGCTATCCACTGCCATTACCTAATGATATTTTTGCCAAGATGAACGGCGGCGCTCAGTTTGCAAATCTATATCATTCAGGAGCCTACCTGCATGGTGAAGCTGCAGAGGAATCCAGACACCTTCTGACGATCAATACTCACCGTGCCCTATTTCAGTACGCTCGAGTGCCATTCAGAGTGAAAACTGCACCGTCCATCTTTCAGCAGATTATGGACACAATGCTGGGTGATCTGACCGGAGTTGCCGCATACCTTGACATCATCGTCTTTGGGGCCACAAAAGAAGACTTTCTGTCCCGACTGAACGCTGTCCTTCGGAGGGTAAATGATCACGGGTTTCGGCTTATGAAAGAAAAATTTGAGTTTATCTTAAATTCCATGAAATGCCTTGGTTTTATTATTGACTGAAATGGCCGTCGAACTGACCCACCTACTATCGACCCAGTTGTGAGAATGCTCTCACCATCGAATGTTGCTGAACTCAAGTATTTTTGGGGTTGATTAGCTACTCCAGCGCCTTCCTGCCAATTATGCATCGCTCGCGTTAATCGTTCAACCAGCTTTTGAACAAAGGATGGCGGTGAGGTTGATCACGCGACTGTCGTTTTGCATTCCAAGAAGTGAAGACGCTGCTGCAGTCCGAACTTCTACTCACGCGCTTCAACCCCCAACTGCCTATCGTTCTCACAACTGACGCATCGAACCGTGGAGTTGGTGCAGTCATTGCTCACCTTTTTCCTGACGATACGCAAAAGCCGATCGCTCATACAATGCCCTTGGCTCCAGCTAAGCGGAATTACGGCCAAGTTGACAAAGAAGCGCTAGCAATCATTTTTGGGATGAAGAAGTTCTGTAAAATACTTTATGGCCGACACTTCACGTTCGTGACTGTCCACAAACAACTACTGGCTATACTCGGTTCCAAGAAAGGTATCCCGGTATACATAGCCAGTCGTCTACAACGATGGGGCACGATTTTGCTCGGCTACAACGTTGCTATAAAATATGCCTCAACCGAGAAATTTGGGCAGGCCGATGAGCTAGCGCGCTTGATTGCTCCTCACGAAATGGAACCAGAAGACACCGTCAAAGCAACCGTTGCCGTTGAACCGGAAGTTGGTGCTGTGATGTTGGAGACCATAAACCAAACAGCCGTGATTTTTGACGCGGTCCGAAAGGCTACCAGAAGTGACAGCATACAACAAAAGAAAATACAGTACCACCAATCAATCTGGCCAAAAACGTGTCGATCAGGGGAACTACGGAAACTTTTTCAGCGATGGAGACTATTGTCTGTTGCCAATGGCTGCCTTCTCTTTGGCGACCGAATCGTCATTCCCACCGAACTTCGCCAACGAGTCTTGGCACACGTCCACAAGAACATCCAGAGATAAGCCTCATGAAGCCTCTTGGTCGCAGCTACGTTCACAGGCCGAGTATGGATGAGCGCGTGGAACAGGTGTGTTGGAGTTGTTTTCGTTGTGCAGCTGCCCAGAGGTTACCCAACTGACATCCGCCGCAGCCTTGGCTACAACCAGAAAAACCCTGGTTGGCCATCCATGTGGATTTTGCCGAACCAATAAAAGGACAAAGCTTCCTCATCGTTGTCGATGTATTCAGTAAGTAACCTGAGGTCCTTATTATGTATGAGGGAACAACAATGGCAACCACCACTAAGCTGCAGCATTTGTTTTTGATATCGGCTACCCCGGATACTATTGTGTCCGATCACATCCCATCAGTTTGGCGAGTTCGTTTGAAGACGCGACATCACTTCTCCATTATTCCATCTCTACTCCAACGTTCAAGAAGAAAGTTTCGTTGGCACCTTTAAACGTGCGTTGATAAAGGCAGAAGGGGAATGGACCACGATAGGCTGCCGCTGAAATGTAGAGCAACTCCTAATCCAGTCTCCAAACAGTCGCTCTTCAGCAAAGGCTATGATAAGCAGACAGTTGAGAATTACGCATCATCACTTACGTGTTCTCAGTCACCGACAGGAGGGAAGCCAACATTCCGGCCTGGCGACCGTGTGCTTGTCAGGGACTATCTATCCGAGCACCAAAGATGGACTGTTGAAGTCGTTCTCAAAAGAATCGATCAGGTAATCTAGAGCGTTCAGGCAGGATCGCTGATATTGAAACGATATGTCAATCAATTACGGTTTACTGAGTGCCCGATCTCAAAGGCGGAGAACCTTTACTAAATATGAACCTGGTGCTGAAACATTTGACCCCTAAAGACCAGCACCTGTAGCCACTGCCTCGCATGTACCGCTCAAGATATGTTCATTGCTGCAACCAAAACGTCGTACTAATCATGCTAGAAAACCGATTGAACCTTCACAAATTGATCCTCGTCAAAAACCTTACGTTGAACGGCCAAAAGCGGGATTAATCAGGAAGGCCAGATTCCTGAAGTCAACCAGTGAGTGCCCGAAATCTACTGAGACTATCGGCTCCGCTATATGTTAATCAGAGAGACAACGCCCCCCTCCAACACGCAGCGCGTTGCAGCCTCGTGCGTTATAACAACAAGTTAGACAGTGTCCCTCCAATAACTAGCTTCAGACCGTTGTGCTTTCGCATTCGCATGCACTCATGCTCTCATACTCGCTTGTTGAGGACATATCTGTTGTGTTCCATTCTGAGTCTTTTTTCCACTATTAGGCACCGTAGCGAGTCAGCAGTAAGATATAACAGATTGGCAAATCAGCAGATATAACAAGGGACCTGGTCGAATGCTTTTTGAGCATCCAATAAAATTATTACATCAGAGTGCCCGGCGTCGTGGGCTACCGTGATGGTGGAGGTGATGCTGGAAGTCACTGACGGATCGCTGAGACCGGAATCCGCACACAGGCACAAGTATCAAACAGTGATCGACGGCCCCGTGTTTTTGCCTTCTCACACACTTATCGAGATAGCCGGAAGAAGTAACACATAAGGAGCACTCACATTTGTGAAGTCATTGACGAATTTCTAACAACGTAAGGGTTTGTCTTCAAATTTGGGTACTCTTCTCTGAAACACACCCACGCAGAGATTGGGTAGCTCCGAGAGACGTTGATATAGTGGAGACGTTTGCTGCTTTTCAAAGCCATCGTCGTATAGCCAGAATTAGTGGGCCCTTCCTGATTCACTGGATAGTGGAGAGGTCTAGCGGAGTTTCGGAGTTTCCGGTCTGTAGCGCTACCGAATTTCTGAAGGTTAGCCAGCCTTCGAAAGATCTCAACTATCTCCATCTTTGGTTATTCGGTTCTGTCATCAAGATCAACAGGGAGCTCTTGCTCGGACGTCGGGTGGGGATAATCCTGTGGGAGAAATGTCAGGGGCAGGTTCTCTAGACACGCAGGAACATCTTGAAATTATCTGTTGGGTTTTGCTATGATGGTGATTATTACTGACTCACTCTGTGCGATATGGGCGGCCAAGGAACTCAAAGGATGTTCAAGGCTGTCACAACACCGGCAGTATGTATTGGATTAGCAGTAGTACAGGCGGACGAGGGCATTAGATGCTAAATTAATGAGCGGTTCCATGGACAAACGAGTTGGCAGAAATCATGAATTTAGCAGTAATAGATGAGTGAGTATTAGCAAAAGATGGATAGTAAATTAGCGACGCCTTTTGGAGGCAATAAGTTGAGTTTTAAATTGCTGAGAAATGTGCGTATGCGGGCAGTCAGAGTGCGGGTATATACATATACAGGGGTTAACGGCACAGAAATCAGTCAGATTGTTCAGATATCGGGCGAAATTTTCTGCAGTCTTCAGGTGATACGCGACGCAGCAGCATGTACAAACTTGGCTCAGCGGCCAAAAACGGCTCACACGAAAATATAAATTGTCGAAACGTCGTTGAGATCGACACTGAGATGTTGATTTTTAATATCATCATCGCTGAGCTTCAGGGCAGTCAGAGTGCGGGTATATACCATATACAGGGTTAACGGCACAGAAATCAGTCAGATTGTTCAGATATCGGGCGAAATTTTCTGCAGTCTTCAGGTGATACGCGACGCAGCAGCATGTACAAACTTGGCCCAGCGGCCAAAAACGGCTCACACGAAAATATAAATTGTCGAAACGTCGTTGAGATCGACACTGAGATGTTGATTTTTAATATCATCATCGCTGAGCTTCACTCGCAATGGACAGCAGGTTGCCTTAATTGCGATTTTAAAACGTATTATTCATAAGTGAAAATTGGTTGGTCCCCCGTAAAATTTTGTCGGTGGACTGGATTAGTTATATCGTAAGGGGACTCGTGTGTTGGAAAAAGTTGCATGCTACATATAGTATGAGCGACTTCATGGTGAGCAGGCGTACCAAATGACATAATTTCAGCGATTTTTGCGTTCCGCGAAAGGATAGGTGCGAGCATAGGAAGTAGGTCCCCAGTTTCCTGGTCATCGGTCCTCGTGATGAACCGCTGAAGGACTCAGTAAAATTGTATTTAATAACTGTTTTTAACTGTAAACTAGTGTTACTGAGTTGCCTTCTTTTTGTTCTTATATAACCACCAAGCGTGGCCCTTTGAATTATTTTGTATCAAGCTGTTAGCTCCTCCAAGACGTGGATGCCCAAAGAGGTGCATGACGCGAAGGTAAACTTTGAGACGAGCTGTCATTTGATGAGCGAGTGTTGTGTACTCAAACCCGAAATGTATGATATATTATGGTATTTTAAAGCATTGCTCGCCATAGGTGCTCCGTGGATGGGGGTTCGGTGATAATGACATGATTTTTGAACGCTTCACGTAAGATATTCGTAAGTAAAGCAGCGTTTTTGAAGCAACTTTGGCATACGGTAAAACCTCTTATGGGGTCAAAATTCCCCTAGATTGTCATTGGAATTGAAAGTTAGATTTTAATCGTCATCGAACAATCCGCTACGCTTTTACTGCTGGAAACCGCTTTAGTCCTCAAAGGCTCACATCCTAGCAGTGAACCAAAATGTAGCCGAATCTGTGATGAATGCGGCAGATGAGTAAGTAAACTGCATCCGTAATTGAGGGGTAGCCAGGCGCTAGCAGGCAGGGCTACCAGGTACCCCACTTGCACTCAGATTCATGTAGTGGCTCAGAGATAATTAAGACTCTACCCACCACACATGTGTTGCCAGATAAGTGATATTTTGGGTTGATGTTGATGAGCAGAAAGAGGTACGCGTAAGTATATGCCGTCTAGACAACTGACTTGTAGTTTAATTTCATGCGTACGAATAATTCACAATATTATACGGATGCCAGTACAGCTATCTATGAAAGTCATTCAGTTTTAATGGGAATTGCAGGTGAACAACACACTCATTCAAAAAAGGGAATGGACTGAAGAGGACATTATCCAGCGCAGTTAGAACAGTGATGCAAGCGGATTGGCACAGCAGGTTCCGAAAGACGTTTTCCGGATAGAATCACAACGAGCAAAAAAACTTTCGCTTTCCCGCAGTTTAAAGCCGCAAGAAGGAGATAAAGCGTTTGTCAAACGGCTTGAAATTGTGGGAGAACTTATAGAATTACCTTGAGACGGTGGTTGAAAAAAGGTTTAGACCTGGATACGATAAACACGAAATCAACGGCGCTCAAGAGGACATGCACCTGGGTAAGACAGCCGCTGACTGCATAAATCGCCGATGGAGGATACTCAAGTTGAAGCTGTATGGTGGATATGCTTTAGCATATTCAGCTCCAGATTCGGCCAGTGGAGCCATACTTGAAAAGTGTTTCAGCGAATGCTGGATAAAATGGGATGCACTGATACCATTTGGATAGATTTTAATGTTGAATGGATACTGGGTGCGACATAGGCTCTACAACTTGCAGTGGTTCGCAGTATCTATAGATCTGGGTATGGAGGAATAGGTAAGAGGTTTGCTCGGGTCGTTGGACAAGTGTTTCGTGAGTTTACGTTGATTATATTGGAGTCTTACTCGGTTGTTCACACTATGATCTCGTTTATCGCTGTCCTACTCAAAGGGCTGAATTTCACCTACCTCCAGGTTGAGGGAATTCTTTGGCTACGAACAGAGAATGCAATGTAACAGAAGTAATAATATTGTTTGTTTCCAACCAATTGGTGGCATGCCGTCAGGCATGATCATAATGTTACAGTAAGAAAAAACCGTGAGTGGATGTTTTTGTGGGTACGGAGGATTGAGCGGAATAGGGACGGTGCCGCAAACGAGGTCACCTTTATACCGGTAGTGGAAGAGCACGGTTACTACTTCTTTTTTGAGAGGGGATAATATCTAGTTGAAGCAAAATCAGATCGTTAGAAGCTGAAAAACATTATTATTATTATTGTTATTATTATTATTATTAAGAGGCACCTTGTCTGACACATGACAAGAAAGATGCGAATTCCGGTAAAAGAAATTCCCTCTTTATAGAGTAACTAGTGTAGTCAGTTTGTTGTGAACCATACCTACCTCAAGGCGATAGCAAGATAACCTTCTCTTGAATTCAGCACACCCGCAGCCCACTGAACACTGCGTATCGAGGAATCCGCATAATTCCTTCCAGGACTTATGTGGTCATGAAAACGCACAACACGTTCCAACTTTCCACCTCGTCCCAGTTTGACTACTAACTTTTGACCAGCGCTTGTTAAACGTGCATATGAGCTAGGTTCATTTAACTGTCCTTTATGGTCTACCTACGTAGCATCTCGCCAGATGATTAGGCGTGGTGAAATTCGGGCCAATTGTTAGCCGCGCACACGAGCCGTGTTCTTCTAATTGTGTCATAGGAGCGATGACAACTTCGCCCAATAATTGAAACCAAGATTTCGAGGTTCCTGCTTGGCATTAGTTGGGGGGCCAATAAAAGTAGCCAAGATTTGAAGTGCACTTTTGAAGTACACTTTATCAAGTACCCTCTGTGTCAAGCAAGTTTTCACAACTCAACACAAAAGGACGAAAGTTTCTAGAGGCACCCATCGTTAGTAATCAATTGAAAAACCTTGTACCAGAAGGTCAAAGGGAAAACCGGGTTAAAACACTGTGAATTTCTCTAACTTATCAAACTAACCAAGACCTCTTCAACTTACACCAAAGCGGTGTGCTTTAAAACACCAAGCAAAGCGATCGAATGCATTCTAAAGTGGGCTATGGGAACCACCTCATCACCAAAAACCTAATATACCGTGAGCAAGGTTTGACAAATATGCAAGCATTCATGGACAGCTTAACACATCCCCAGGACAAGAGCATGCCGGGTGTCATATTCTAAAACTTCTCAATGACCTTTATTCGAGTTCCACACGAGGCTCATGGGATCCAAGTGGAAATTCCACCTTCGGTCATTTGGATAGGACATCCCAGGTGGACATCAGATGAACCTACCCTTCGACCACAACGGCCCCTACCATTGCCACTCAAACCCGTGTCTTAAGCCCATTCCCATTTCTGGTTTACTAAAACGGCTTTCCAGGAGCACTTTCACGTTCATGTATACATTTGTGAACGGCCCAGAAGCTTGGACTCTCAGTGAAATTCGATGCCAAGAATAAGTGGTCACTGGACCTGCAAGACCCTCCGAATAACGAAAAAGGCCTCCGTATATCATTTGGAGGAGACTCAGTTAATTCGCTTGTCATGACTGGCGCGAGTGAGTATCTGAGTGCTTTCGAGCGTGTCACTCCCACTCCACAAATAAAAGCGGCATTCATCACTCTATGAATATTTCGGACTACCTCCATCTTTATTACTCGCTTGGGCTTTCAGAGACTCATTGGAGTTTAAGACCGTTTCTTGAATAGGAGAGCCAAGTTGTCTAATCAGGGCGCATGGTGGACGTAACCCAAATTAAGCGTACCCAATGGACTGCCACGAAGATGGTCGCCGGTATCAAACCTGCTGATTATGGAATGCATCTGGAGACACCTGGAATAATTCCTCCAGACTATCACCACCTCCGCGGGCACCCGAAAAACACGCCTTGTATGAACAGGGTTAGGCAGAGGAATTTTCAACGTTGTCCTCACAAGTGCACGAGGTTTTCAGGATTAGAGCGCACCTATTTATTGGGCAGCAGTTGCGTGGAGCAACCATGTTTCAATGTTTCATCAAGAAGCAGCTGTAATATCCTTCAGATTTTTTATTAGGTGCCCTCACGGTGGCGAGCTTATTGGCGGACAGAACGTAAAGAGCAGCGCTACACCCTTCTTCACTCGAACTTTGTAGGTGAGTGGAAGCTAGTGATCAAAAAGTTCAAAATACACTTGGGAAACATGGGTGAAAGTCTCGATCCCGTGTATCAATACGGGAGTTCGTGTCCCCGGAGCGCGGATTTTGATTCTAGGCGCTACACTTTGCCTGTTATCGTGGCGTTCGCAAAAGAGGACGTTCCATTTTTTTGTGTAACTAAGTCCATCTTTTTTAGTATTACTGGAATAATGTGACCGTTTTCAATTTTAGGAAGCCCTCCTGACATGGGTTCAAACGGATTTTGGTGTCAATTTGATGCTTTCGCGAAGCCTTTAAAAGATTTTCGTGTACAAACTGTCTCCGGCGCATTGGGTATGATCATAAGTTGACCATATGACTGTACGAAGTTTCCATTCTTAGCAGCGTTGTGATACTTTTCCTATTCTTTTCGGAACTTATTGCGTACACTACGCCACAAGCAAAACAGGAGATTGTCGTGGATATCGATCGAGGTAGAAAGCTTTCGATCGAGCTCGATGTTTCATATCTTTTCATACCTTGCACAAGTGAGCATGGTTGTTTGGTTTAAACCAGATTCAGTGCTAAACTTGGACACGATGGACTCTACCGGCGAGCAGAAAATCGACGTGAACCAACAAATCTACAAAACTCGCATTGACACTACGGGGTCCCCAATAAGTGCGACCAGGCTTGATGGTATATCATTGTGTGTACACGTAGTGTATCTCTGTCGTGTTTGTTTTCAGGTGCTAATCCATCTAAAGGACAAGTTGTTACCAAAGGTCCGGACTATTGTGGGTCATGCTATGGTGCCGAAAGTGAGACGCGCAAGTAGGTTAACTCACTACTTTTGTTGACATTAACCTAATTTTGGCACATTATCGTGTCCATTATGCCGTTCCTTTTTATGTCTGATTGTGCGCTGACGATGCGTAGATCTTTCATTTGGGGCTTTTCTTATGACCCCATGACAGTATTATGATGGTGATAAGCCCGCGTATCTTGTTCTGCCCACCGAACTACACTTCCGAAAAACGCGGTGCATATCCTGTCAAAGTTTTCTCCGCTTCGGTCCTGTTGTCGGCTGTTAGTCTTATGACACGTCTTCACACATTTCATCTTGGTTCTGGTTTATTTCGTACTCCATCAGTAGTTCTGAAGCCGCCACTTTTTGTGGCTTCACTGCCTGTACGATAGATGCGGGTTCACATTGGTGGTAGCCACTTGTACGTAGCACCATACCGGGCCCTGCGCATGCCGTTTGTGGATGACAAATTATGGGCATTCGCTTTGTTCTCTCGTGCCCCAAGTCATCTTGGAGTACATGATCAGCATTCCACATGATTTTAGCCCCTTGAGTGGATCGTAGCGCTGTTCACTGTCACCGTATCTATTCACCTTCGTAACCGACATGGCTTTCCACGCTTGGACCTGTGGAGAAGACGGGCGACATCGCTTTGACTTGTGGTAGTTCGGGCTGCACACTTCCTGGGCGACCTCATCTGGGATGCAGTTTTCTTCAAAGCGCACAGCAATGTTACCTACTTGGCAGAAGGCAGGCTCATAAGCTACTTTTAAAATTACTTACTCAGCCTCAAGGATTCCTTAGACTAGTGGGTTGAGTTAAGAGACGGTTTTACAAGTTGGGTCTGTGTTGCTTCTGCGAGGCCACGACATCTTTTGCCGCTGCGACGAAGTAGAGCTGAAAAGCTATACATAGTACTTGTGTGGTTTTGGCTTTACGGTAGCGCTCGTTCTTCCTTACACCCCATCATTCATGGGCTCCTCATCACACGTCCGTTACTCAATCTTTCTGATCCATTTATCTGTCAGTCATCCGGCCTTTGCTCTGTATTTAGGCCTCCGCCAGGCGAAATAAATCAAAGTAATCCTCTATTCAACCCAGTAAACTATAGTAAATTCAAAAGATCCGTTCCAACGTTTGTGCGTAACGTCAAACTGGCAGCAGGTGGCCTTTGTTCAGACCTTGCTCTTTCTTTTGGGCGATGTATATTGTATAGATGTATGTGTATGTATGTAAGTATGTAAATGTATGTGTAGATGTATGTTGTATAGAATCCCAGTTCGGTCGTACACCTCAAGCGCTCTGAACAAACCTGGATTGTTCTCATTTTACTCGGGTGTCTGATGATCCTGGTGCGCTGGCTCTTGGTTTCTACATTATGGGAGTTGTAATTTGTCCCGCAGCTAAATGCGCTTCATTGGACTGGATTCCATGAAATAATAGCTGCGCTGTTTTATTGACTTGCCTAGTCAAAATCAACGCATCGCTACGCGATGAACTATGTTTGTCATGTCAGCATACGCTCCGACAGACGGCAGATCTGAGAATGAGGAAGACAGCCTCTATCGAGACTAGTCACGGTTGCTTCCGTCAGTTAGACATACATATATCGTGATTCCCGTAGGTGATGTGAATCTCCAAGTCGACTGACTAAGTTCTGAAAGAACTCATCTTGGCAACCGATGCTGGGTTGATGCTCAACGCACGGATAATAGGGAGCAAGTTCTTCAATTACGTGCTGAACACATTGTTTTCTGGCCAGCACAAGCCGTCACCATGCGACGGGAAGGAAATCAACTGTAAACTTGCTGTTAGACCATGTGACGATCAGCTACCTAGTGGTACATCGACATCACTCCGCCATCGACAACGGAAGTCCACCGCACAATCTAATTGCTTCTGCGCAGCAACGCACCTTAATCAGGTGGTTTGCATCCTCTATTCTTCAAAGGTGGTGAGTCTGTTGTGGCCATCCTGGCGACTTTACTCCAAAGTATTTGGAGTGAGAAAGAAGAAGAGGGTGAGGTAAACTCGGCAAACTCTCGTTTCCGTTTTGTTCCTGTTGAGCAAGTATTTGAACATTGTCCCAATTGAACTTGTGTCTTTCTCTGTCTTCGTGGATTGAGACAGGTGACATTGGGTCATGTCTTCTGCTGGCAAGCTTATGCAGGCTTGTATTCTGGTAGCACGTTTTCTTCCTGTTTGACCAACATAGTGATTGTCGGAGTCGTTACACTTGAGTCTGTAGACCACGTGCGTCTTCTTCACTGCATCCGACCGTTATTTTGGAATGTCTTGTAGTGGTTAACGGCCCTATGGAGTCTCTAGTGAACAGAGCAACTTACTAATGTAAGCCAGATACAAAGTCACAAGGAGAAAAAATACAAGTAAATCTTGACTCACAGTTCAAAATGAGATTCCGTAGTTCCGTATTCCGTTGAACCACCACACCAAGAATAGTTCTAACTTCCTGGTATTCCAGATCTCCGGTGATCGAAATATTAATCCACAAGTGTGAATATATTGGTCCAGTGTTTGTAGCTGAAATGTTTGTTCACGTTTAGTGTTAGTGACCGTTATTTCGGAATGTATCGTAGAGTCTTTGCTCTTCTTTTCCCTTCGCCCTCGTCGTGTTGCAACGCGTCTCGATCCCCTTGAATAGGATTCGAACCCAGCTCCGTTTGTGGCAATTGGGATGGTTGCTGTAGTAGTTCAGAATCTGGTCTGCATGTGTTTCTTTCCTGTACACTCCAGTTTGCAGTTGGCCGTTTGTTGTCCTTGTGACGAGCACATCTAGGAACGCCACCTTTTGTTCTCTTCTGCTATCGTTTTGAAGTGGATGTCGGAAAACACGTTGTTCACCAGTTCGTTCACTCGTGACAGTTCATTTTTCGTTACAACAGCAAATGTATTGTCCACATATCGTACCCGTACTTTCGGTTTGATATCTGGTAGCACGATCCGCTCCAGTTTCTGCATTGTAATTTCCGCGATAACTCCAGAGACTGTTGATCTCATGTGGATGCTGTATGTGGACGAAACTTTAAGTGTGATGAAAAATAAACTGCCATGGTGAACGAACTGGTGAACAACGTGTTTTCCGACATCCACTTCAAAATGATAGCAGAAGAGAACAAAAGGTGGCGTTCCTAGATGTGCTCGTCACAAGGACAACAAACGGCCAACTGCAAACTGGAGTGTACAGGAAAGAAACACATGCAGACCAGATTCTGAACTACTACAGCAACCACCCCAATTGCCACAAACGGAGCTGGGTTCGAATCCTATTCAAGGGGATCGAGACGCATTGAAACACGACGAGGGCGAAGGAAAAAGAAGAGCAAAGACCCTACGAGACATTCCGAAATAACGGTCGAACGCAGTGAAGAAGACGCACGTGGTCTACAGACTCAAGTATAACGACTCCGACAAACACTATGTTGGCCAAACAGGAGGAAAACTCGCTACCAGAATACAAGCCTGTATAGGCTTGCCAGCAGAAGACATGACCCAATGTCACCTGTCTCAATCCACGAAGACGACAAAGACACGAGTTCAATTAGGACAGTGTTCAACTACTTGCTCACACAAGAACAAAACGGGAGCTAGAGTTTGCCGAGGCATGGTTCTCCACACATAAGTCGACTAATAAACATCGATATCGACCCAATCTATCAACCATTACGAGCGAAAGAACGACACAGTCACGGGACTCTGAGCCACCTGGGAAATCAAGAAACCTAGCGACAACAAACGGACTAATGAGATCAAAGGAAGAAAACTTCTAAAAACAGAGGACTATCAAATCAACCAATCAGCGGAACAAATTTAGACCACAAAGCAAGAATAAAACGATCGGATCCAACAGAACGATCCCCCACAGAGCCGTCGAATTGCATGCGCTCAACGAACCAACCAGATAAGAGATTAAGACCAACTCAGATTAACAGGGGCCAATCAAACTACGCGAAGATCGCCTTCAGAGCTACTAGATGCGGTTTAGTAGCTATATGAACACAGGCAGAAGAGGAGGAATTCACCCGCTCAACCCCACACTGACGATGTCACTTCGATTGGTGATGAAACGTTTTCAATCCAACTGCCAAGCTCGGTGAACAGATCAACAACGAATCCAAATGATTCCTCATCTGTTTTCGCACGGCGTGTTTACTCATCGATCACTCAAAAGCCGTTCTTCTTGTGCTCTGGTATGTGTGCGTGTAAAATCTGATATTGAAACTCCGATTCTTTCATCCCGGGACTGATTTAGGTATCGAACAGTGTTTGTTCCTGTTCGGGACACCCGTACGTGATCCGACTTCACTTCTGACTTTAGTGTTGCTGTCTACGCCTGGGTAACTCTGCAATGCCCCAGTGGTCAAACTTTCTACAGGTTTCGAAACAGCTATCACCGGAAGGTTCTATAGCTGGCCAGTGGCAGCATCTTTATCATCAGAAAAAAGAATCGGTTGTCCTCATTACAGGCTCTTCAGAGTGGGGTTTTAAAAGCGCTTGGGGTAGCTTGTTGGCTTTTCTGCCTCAGCTGATTTTCAGCTCTAATTCGTGACTCCAGGTAACTTTGGATCTGACAACAACCAACCTCTGACCTACCGCTTTGGTGGATGGTCCGAAAACCAGGTGAGAGTACCCCAACTGTTCGTGCTATTGGTTGTGTTAAGCGGTGTGCACGTTAGGATGGGTTTGGCATATTTTGCGGCCTTAATTGTAGAGCTACATGTTCGCCATGCAGTGGTATAAGACGATGTAAGCTCCGAAATATGCACAACACTGTGATAGGCATGTGATCAAGACAGTGCTACTCGCCTTCTAGAATGGGGACCGCGTGATCCTCACTGTGCCTGGTTGGAGACACTAAAAGATATGGCTGCAAATCGATGTCAGTGGCGTTCTTAATGTCATTTTCTATCCAGATTGCCTCAGTGGATGTCTGGAGGTATAGACACCTCGGAATGACTGTGGTAAGCCAGCGCTGAGTCCCTTCCCCGTCCACTTTTACTCTCTTCTTTACAATAAGGCTTTCAAGTAAATCATGATTGTATGGCAGTGAAGCATCGGTGCTGAACACTGATTTTATGCTATCGATGATGACGATGTTCGCAAAGTTGGTGTTAATAGGAGATTCAACCATATCTCGGCGAAATCTCTCGTATGGTATTCTTCAACTGACCGAGCTGTACACTGGTCGTCTCAGATGTAATTTGGGACCGTAGTATTTCTCTGATGTAACACTACTTACAAGGTTGAGAAAAGTTCCTAGATAACCTACCACTGACTCATTCTTTTGTTGGGGCTCATCAGATGGACGTAGTCCCCGAATCTTCCACAATTTTATTTCGTACTTGAACACCAAATCGGGTGTGTATGTGGATAAGCACTGAAGTACGAAATGAGATTGGTTCGGGGAACAGGCTTACATGATGAGCCTGCAGAAGGATGAAGTCGGTCACGGGCTCTCCAAAAGACTTCATCAATCCTATGAGTAATGTCACCTCAGGATCTTCGTTGTTCAGCACCTTACACTTCGCGTACCGCTTTACAGATTGCATCTGATAGTGCAGAGGCCAGAGATACAAACTAGGACAAATTAAAGTGGTACTAAAGCAGCCGTGAGGAACTTTATTTTCATTTGCGTTGCTCTCTGCTTGCTCCTAATTATGGCACGAGTACGTGCTACCAATCCTTTCGTATGGATTAGGCACAATAAACTACTGGTTCTTGGACTCCTCTGGCCGTACTGTAAAATGGTCGTTGAGTTTTCTTGAACGCAAACCAGTGGATTCTAGGCTTCCCGTTGGAACGCATTGTTTATCCAACTTCGATTCGCACGCTGAATAGCGATGTTTTTCGATTTCGAAACCCAGTTCAGTTAATGGAACTTATTTAGACATCACTGTTCGGTGTGCCACGTTTGCCCTTCATTCAACTACAATGGCTTGTTTTCGTGACATTAGCACACTGGTCCCGATGATGACGGTGACAGCTGTAGACTTGTTCGTACAGACCACCAGATTATTTTCATACCCAACTGGTGGCTCTACGAGGCCCTATCCTATATTCGACTTTCCGTACCTATAAGCCTTCATGGATGATTCGTAATTCTATCCACAATTCTGTTAACCAGTGTTTCTAACACACAACACTTGCTTCTCACCGCTACTCACAGGTGCTGCAATACATGCAAAGAGATTCAACTTGCTTATCAAGAGCGACATTGGGTAGTGAAAAATCTCTCAGTCTTTGAGCAATGCCGTGAAGAACAGTGGGACGATACACTTGCCAACTTGGGTTCCGAAGGATGTCGCATTCAAGGAAGCCTGGAAGTAAACAAAGTCGCCGGGTCATTCCACATTACACCGGGCAATAGCTATGCGTCAGATCAAGTACATGTTCATAATTTGCAGGGTTTCGACGGGCAGAAGGTAAGCTTTGTCGTGTGGCTATCGGGGACATTGCAGTTACAGTCAGCTCTACTTGTTAGCTTCCTATTTGTGTGACTGTTTGAGTGCATACTATGGTTGTTTTGCCATTGATTTCTCGGAAGTATGTCATCAGTACACTTACAGAAGTGATCCACTTGCGCCTCTTGCTTTCAGCTGAATATGTCGCACAAAATCGATAAACTGGCTTTCGGTAACATGTACCCTGGTCAAACCAATCCGCTTGACGGAACAACGATGAACGTAGTGGAGCGTAAGTTTTCTTGTGCGGTATTTTGTTCATAGAGAAGGTGAGGAGTGTACGCTGTCCATACAGTCAAAGATATATTGTTATCAAGCAGAGTATACGAATGTGGTATAACGCGCTCACCCAGTTGGTTGTCCGCTGAAAGATTCTTTCTATGATCGCCAAGATGGACCAGTTGGTTAGAGCGCGAATTTACTCACCGGAAGGTCAGTGGTTCAAACCTGACCCCTGCCTCTCCACTCCCCCTGTCTAGGCTTGGGCGACCTGGCAGTATCCCAGCCCTCGTGCCTCCTTCATGTGGCATGGCAGCTAGGCACCCAAAAGGGTGCTACAACTGAACGATCGATCACCCCATTAGACTCGGCTCAGGGGAGACGCGTCTCGTACAAAGCCTTTTGATGGTAAACAAAAACTCTTTTGTGTACTACTGGGTTTGTTTACTGACACCAAAACCAGGGGCTCTATCCTATATGCATGAAACATGCGTGACGTGGATGTCCTAGACAAACTACGGAAGGAATGCAAAGCTAAAGGTTCAGCGGGCTAACCGTCTGTTACTTAGAGGAATTACTACCTTTCGGAATGAGTCTGTAAGGATTGACATTGCTGTTAAATTATAGTTATAGGACGTTTTCCGGTTCTTTTAGTTGCAGGGGTTTGAATTTTAGGTGCGTGCTTTAATGTATCCGCCACGCAACACGCAGCCCGTTGAAAAATGGCTGTTGACGTACAATTATCAGGCTTGTGGTAACTGTTTATATCCACACGCATCATGATCGAATCTCACACGTGCAAGTGTAGTACAACGTAGTAGATTTTAAGGTCGAAACCTGACGAAGCTAAACCGCTTGTTTGCCGCAATTGCTAGCCGATCCGTAGTTTGAGCACACTGCAATCGCAAGCTACGTCAGCATTCGCCACTTGGTTACAAGCTTGCTTTGTAATCCAGCTCTTTCGTGTTTGTTTATTGTGCTTCCCTTCACAGCTGCTCAGATGGTTACCTACTACATGAAACTTGTCCCGACTATGTACGTTTCTTACAATACCACGGTAAGTCGTACACCGATTTTCACCCTTTTCTCGTACTTTTTTCTCGAAGCTACGGTCTTCACTTTCAAGCTTGTTGCTCAGGACATCATAAACGAGAGATTCAGTTGAGTCTCTCGTGAAAACCGAATTTACTTGCAAATGGGTGTATTCCTCGAAAACAGTGCAATTTGGGGTTCAAGTAGATCATAAGGTTGACGGAAACTCGGGGACCGCGCCTACCTGATGAGCCCCAAGAAGGGCGAAACCGGTGTGGGCTGTCGAAGAGTTTTCAGCAACCTTGTGAGTAGTTTCCTTTATGAAAATATACTGCGATATATTGAATATCGTGCCAACTGAATCATGAGGCGGCCTGTGTGCAGTACATTGAGCTGGAGGACATCATAAACGAAAAACCAAATTGATTTGCAAATGAGTGTATTTCATTCGAAGTTATTTACTCTATCAAACCCATTCACCTGACATCTCTCCACCCAGACACAGAGTCTTTCGACGGTCCATACGAACCAGTATTCAGTCACGTGGCATTCGAAAGGTTCACCGTTGACCAGCGATTCTTCGGGGATTCCTGGACTATTCTTCAACTATGAGCTTTCTCCTCTCCTTGTCAAAATCTCTTTTGAGCATAAGTGAGTATGGGTGTCAGCAAATTTGTCATAACCTCAACGATCTAAGTGCTTTGCATCGTGCGACAGTATTGTTTTCATTACCATGTTTGACAACTAATACGAAGGTGTTCATTCGTAGCGTTTCGGCGGGTGTTGCCTACTCTATCCGACCTTCATCGTTGGGGTCGTGTGCTACCCGTGCTTTGCACCGCTTGTCCCATCTCGTTGATTGGTCCTCACTCATACCGTGCACATTGTTGAGTTCCCGATACGGAACCACGATGTGACGATCTCGAGTATCAAAAGAAAGAATTGGGTTCGAAAGCCTGCGGTAGTATTTGCACACAAGTAGGCAAAACTATACAATAAACTTCACGTTCTTGATGTCAGTAAGTACATAAGTCTGTCGCTGACCGGCACGATGTAGCGTCCAAGTCTGCACACCAGATAATGGCAACCGGAATGTTGGATTGCTGGTGCGGGTTGCGGTTGTCCCGAGACAAGTATTGTGATCCTGATTGGCGGTACGATCACACGGGTGTCACAGGCCCAGCAGGTGGATGGGTAAATTGGTGGATTGGCGGTACGATCACACGGGTGTCACATTTGGACGGTCCCAGCAGGCGGATGGGTAAATTGGTTCAGTGATACACACAAGCTAGCATACCAGTGTTGGACAGGACGGCCTTTGTGGCCATGTGACTGGCTGGCATGGAGGCAGGGACAGAGCAGTTGGTAAGGACGCATGTGGTTTAAGCGAATGACGGTGTTATCCCGATGTGAACTTAGATTTGACGCTTCTCTTCTGGAACGAGACAGCTCAAATCCTACTCGTTCTGGATGCTAATGTGAACATTCCTCCGGTGGTTTGGCACTGAAAGGACGTATCACAATTGAAGGCCACCTCCTGACAAGTTTTTTTTGCATCGTGTTGGCCTTTTTTATTTGGGTGTTCCCGTGACAGAATTAGCGGAAAAACTGACGTTTAGACGGAATAGCTTAATTGATTTTGACTGGTGATACGTAACTGCTATAAAACGTTGCTTCTCTCTCTGTTGACTCAGTGTTTCCTCCTTGCACGTTTCCTCTAGTCCCATTTCTATGCTTGTTCACACCAGCGGTTAAGGGGCTTCGCGCACGTCTTACCTCGTCTTTCACTAGATGCCTAAGATGCACTTACACTTTTCTTGTTCTTCAGGTCTTTCTTGCATTTTCTGACCAATACTTGTGCAATTATCGGGGGTGTATTCACCGGTAAGTGTATCTTTTGCCGTCATCACTCAAGCTGTTCAGTTTATTTTTCACCGTTTAGTGTTTTGTCCGTTTCCGTCCGCTGTGAAACTGAGTGCTAAGCCAACGCAACCTTTCATGATTGCTGTTATATCTGTGATTATGGCTCAAGAGTCCTGTGAAATGCCAGAACCGCCTGCTAATGTGCTGACGCCATAGGTTCACCATCACGGTCGGTATAAAACCCCGGCATTTGCGTCTGTGAGAGGGAGTTGTCTCTGTTGGTCGACCTGTTGAATTGTGCTCTATACTGTCCCATTCGAAGGGCGGTCAGTTGAGAAAGATGACCCTCCCCCTGCTGATTGACTCGCTAAGACGAGCAAACGCTTTTCAATTTCCATAACGTGGTCCGGCTTCTTCCACGATTGTCTTATCTTTTGGAGTATTATTGAATAAGGTTTGTTGGGATCGTAAAAATGACTCAATAACCTTTCTCGATTGCAGAATCTCCGTCAGACGAAGTTATTTTGTCATCCAAAAAATACTCTGATAACGAAAAACCTATTCACTGGTAGCATTCAGTTTGGTTTTAGAAATTCCACCGTCAAAACGTTTGAACGTGCCAATTGCTATATTATACAGTGTAACGACAGTTGAAGGATGGCTGTGAATGTAGTCATGGGGGCTATTTTGACCACCCTCACCACTAGGTCTCTGATTCCGTTTCTTTTAGTTCAAGGAGCCATTGTTTCGGCTGTGGAGCATACCGTGCACACATTCCAGCCACACTGACACGTTCACCAAGTTGTGTCAAACCGTCTTACGATTTGGTTTCTAAGGTCGGCTGCTGAAGACCGTCGTAGATGTGTTTTAATTTAGTTGTAGGCCATGGCCTCTGTAGTTTGTGTACCCGAGTAGCCTCCGGATTTTTTTTTACCTTAGCTTGCATGCCACACGACCTTTTTCACCTATTGCTGCTGTTTAACATTACTATTCTTGGAGGCTTTCGTGGTAGGACAATGTTAAGCCGCTTGTAGTCGTTACCCGAAACATGTTCAACCTCTTCGTTCAGTTGTGACACCCTTCTGGTGCCTCGCTGCCAGGCCACCCGAAGGAAGTACAGGACTGGGATACTGCCAGGTTGCCCGAGCCTAGACGGGGGTAGTCGGGAGGCAGAGGTCGGGTTCGAATCATGGATCTTCCAGCCAGTAAATTCGCGCTCCAACCACCTGAGCCATCTCACCCTCAATCCCTTCGCACACTGTGTATTATTACGAAACCTTATTTTGTGACAGCGAGCTGTAAGACTATCTCACAGTGTAATGGGCCATGTCTATAGGTTATGCGAAACGACGCTCATTTGACTTCCAAACTTTGTATCCCTTATGAGGGCACTCCATGGGAACTCGTGTGGGCACGAAGGGGCTATACAGTGGGCTGAGTTCACCTCGTCTGGTGGTGTAAGATAAGGCTGCTCTCTCCCAGCTGCACCAAGTGAACGTAAACCTGAGCACATCGCATCATCATCATCGACAGCATGACATCAGTGTTCAACACCGATGCTTCACTGTCGTACGACCTGAACACGCGTAATGCACAATTTTGTGATCGGTAAGCCCTACGCAGTACATTGTAATCCGTCACAAAAAAGGGTTGGAGTTATTTAGCCCATTCTTCGAGATCCTAAACTAAGTCGAAGTCGACGGGGATTCTTCGGTGGACTATTCTCTTTTCGGAAAGGTCTCTCGAAAAATGGATTACCTATATCTGAATCCACCAGGCTATTTCATTGATATGCTTTTATCGTGAAGGAAGGATTAAACTCCGTCGCTCCGTTTTGTTAACAGCGATTGCATGCCTTTGAAACATTTGCGCGTGTGGTAGAAAAGTTGAGCTGGCAATCCTGAAGTGGCTGTGGTTGCCAGTGCATCATTTGCCATGTCAGCTCCTGTCTATTGAATTCTGCTTCTAATGAATTAAGGCATGCGCGTTGCGAAGCCTCTGCAGCGTACAGTTCTTGAGTCCTCGCTTGGACTCGAACGGGTAGATCACGTGACTTTGGAAGGGAGTGAATGTTATGGCAATATGGAACTGGGGAATTGTCCGATTTCGTAGCCTATATTGATTGTACATTGATTGTTTATTAGGCTGACTGTGTTTATGCTCTCCACTCCATTGTTCCCTCCCCCCAACTAGTTGCCAGTCTCTTGGACGCATTCATCTACCAATCCACCTGTGTGGTTCGCAAACGACTGAGTACCAAACACTCTTCGTGATACTTTTGGTCCGGTGTTATTTTTCCTCCCACCTTGGAAGCAATTGTGATCTTGCGTTTTGCCGCTGTTCTTTCAAAGATGGAACCTCTCTTCTGTGCAACCGTGTAAAAAGGACAAGTATTCAAGCTGCACTTGGCAAAATCTTTTATTCTTTGCCGTTTTGTACAGTATATGTTGTTGTGAGCACGGGAATGATCTTTGTTTTTGCTTCCACCTGTGAAAGGCAGCGCACTTCGTACCTATCTATATCGGACTTTGGTTGTTCTAGCTATCTCTCGGATCTTCTTCAAATGTATGGTTGCACTGGAGCACATTTGTTGAAAACAAAGACTTCACGATCAATGGTGCGGTTCTTTGCCTGGCGGACGGCACGCTCTTGAAAGCAGTGATCAGTGCTTATTCACGAACCGGGGTTATTTGAAGCATGTGTGCCGACGGTTGACAGTCGTTGGTCATCGGTGCATTGTCGGCGTCTGGACACACGTCAAACGCGTATGGTCTGTCGTCATCCGGCCCAAATTGGGGTCACGTCTGTAGTAATGATAAACGGACAGTTTGCCGAATCTTAGAGGCTGAGACAGGCTTACGGTTGACTGGATTTACGCTGGCCTTTTGAATGGAATGCTGAAACCTTTCAATCAGTATGACTACAACTCCACTGTAGTTTTTATTCCAAGACTTTTTAGGATTTGGCTCTTCAATTGCAAAGCTGGAAGAAGTCATATTCTTATAACTTTTATTATTATTATGATCATATGACTTTCAGAAGGCCAATCAAGCCTATCGATTCTAAAGTGTTTCGTAGCTCAGTATGGCTGTGTCGCTCCCAAACTTCGGATCAACTGCGTTTAGATTGCCAGGTCTATTGACCAAAAATCTAACGAGAACACGCAATTTGTCTGCCAGCGCACAAGACCATGTTTGAAGGGGAGAGTGCATGTTTTTTGGCGCACCGAGAACACCGCAAAAGACTCGGAGGATCATGAAATAGCGCATATCTAACGGAATGCATGAGGCCTGGGAAACGTTTAATCTCTATTTCACACAGTCACCTTGCCGTTCCAAAAGATAGCCCTCAGTGGAGGCGGCGATACCAATGGGAACTGACCAGACCACTAAGATCGTTAACTTCTTGTAAATATTCCGTCATGTAACTTGGACGTAGTCACTATCGCCGATGTCATGATTGCCTTATCAGGAAATGTTTTGATGAACCCTCAGTTGGATCGAGTCTCGGATCTACAAATACGATTGACAAGGTGGAATACGATAGGGTCTCAAGTGCATTGATGCAAAGGTATTTGCTACCTGACATTCGATAATGGTCCAAGGGGTCATCGTTTTTGTCAGGAGAGCGCTTTGTGCAAGCTGGTACATAAAGGGGATTCTAACTCCGCCGGATCTTTTCCGGATAAGCCACACCAAAAAATCAACCCTCGCCCTCAAAAAAAAAGATTAGTAAAAAGAGGATATGAAATTTGTACTTTCAGTTTTTATTGAAGAGAGTGAAATTGGGACGTCATTAATAATTTGCATGAAAAGGTTCGTTTTTCGGTGCCTTTGCCTCTAAACGAACTCACACAAGTAGCTGTCCACTAGAGATTGGCGTGTCAACCATCGTTTCAATTCCTTGGTATGATGCGAACATATCGGAGATGATGACTGAGTCGGGAGCGACGCAGGCCAGGATTGTGTCTATCAAAGTGGCTGTAGTTCGATCTGGCACCGCATGAACACCTCCTTAGTTTCCCGGCAGATCTCCGAAAATGAACTACTGGGGAAGGACTCACCCTGCGTGGTTTTTACGGCGAGATATCAGCGTTTCATCGATCTCGACTGGTAGACCTGGGCCGCCGATAACTGTTGGAGTCTGCCAAAGCCGCCGGGCGCAAACTTCGCGAAGGAAGTTCTTCCAGTCAACAGCGGTCGTGTGGCTAATAGATAATTCCTCTGAGCAGAATTTGATTTTTGTCAAATTTTTGGACCGGCCATATATGAATAGAATTGCTGTCCTAAACTCCATCCTAGACCGCTCCAGCCAAGTTCTCTCTAGAAGACCGATTTCTTGCCGACATCGTCAGGCATCACACCACCTGTCAGAAACAGTTCAGTGTCATTTGGTGACCGTTGTTGCATAAACGTTGCTGATGGATCACTCAGTGGCTTTACAAAAACTTCTTGCCGTCTCCTTGTCATGAACGAGAGTTGAAGGCGTCAGAAAGGTTATTTAAGGTTTTACGTCCGAACGGGAAAAAATTTCTGCACAAAATGAGCTTGGATGCGGATAAGGAATTGTTTTCATCAAAAACAGGTCAAGGTTGTGTGCGCACATTAAATTGGAGCTGGTAACAAGTGGCGGAGCTTAACTTTTCGCACATGCACTTTGCATTAGTGGCGGGGCTTATCTGGAGAAGATCCACTACGCCTACTAGTGTAACGGTGATACTATTGATGGGAAGGCGTGCGAGTAGTATGTGTTGTTCTTTTAATTTCGCTTTGCGTCTCTTGAAAAGAGGAGATCTATTGCGGAATTTGTGGAGTCGCTTTGTAACATTTGCTTGGATTTGAGCAGTGAATGATTGGAGTCAATGAATATACAGGAAAGTTCAAGAAGACGCGTTCAGGAGATGGGTGTTCAGTTTTTGTAAATAGGATGCAAATGAGAGTTTTGCTTCCCTGTCCAATAGTCTGTAACCGATCATTTAGGATTTTCTAATAATACTCCGCAGCGAAGGCCTTCTTCCTTTCACTGGTATATCCTAATGACGGCGAAAGACCTCGTGAGCTTCTCGACACCCGTCGGAATCGGATTAGCCAGTCGACAGTGATTCGCCCACCGAACGCTTCGTCAGTATGGCGCTGCCGTGGATCGTTTGCTGGGTGTAAGCCCTCGACGTTGACATAGACTCGATGGCATAGGATCGGCAGGCCCGTTGCAGGTAATCAGTCCGCCTAGACATGAGAGCGTAATAAACAATGACACGGCTTCTCGTTTTTCATTGGTGCGTCGGCTTCATGCATCAATCTCAGTGTAATACCTCCATTAGTACCACGTCAGCAACATTTCATTAGCTATACGATTACCAAGGTTGTAACCCTTCGGATGACAATGTCGGGCCGATACTAATTACAAAGTAGAATGAAAATACCTTAGTTATGTTTGCCATTTAGGCCGATAACTCATAAAACCGCCTGATAGTCATGGATTCGCTTTGGAGATAAATTCCCCTCTGAATGTTCGCTTGTTTTTGACTAATTAGACGCTTCATTTTGCCAAATTCCTCTTTCCTGCATAGGTTGCCAGTTCTCATATCACTTGGTTGAGTCCCAGCTAATCTAGACTGGATATGCCCTAACAGTCGAGGTTGGGTTCGAACCACGGACCTCGTCACAAAGTTCTCGAGTTCTATCTGATTCTCCAATCCAAAGCCTTCGTTTGGGTTGTTGGGTTCTTGCTTTCACGTCTTTCAATCAAGAGCTTATTGTTCTGTTGACGTTGCGTTCTATTCATCCGCGCTGTCTGATACTGCACTTCCCGTATTTGCGTATTAGAGAAGCGAAACTGAATACTTCACTTGGCGTGACTGACGGCATTGATCCGAAACAAATAGGACAGCTTTCATTGATGTTGTCAATGACGCAACAAGACGAAGGAGATGACAGAGGCGCAAACATGCGTGATGGCGACAACCACCGGCTTTCAATTTTTCGTTCACATTGTAGAACATCTTTGTAAAGCTAAGCGTTTCAAGACCGCCTTTTTGCTGCTGAAAAAAGCTGAGACACACAGACATTTGACTCTCAATTTCGTTGAATCGGCTGCCAATTCAGGTCGCGATCAATATTCAATGCGTAGTTTACTGTCTGATGGAAACTATTTTCTCTCGCCTTTCAGGCGTGACTTTTCTTTCATCTTCACACGTACGCATGAAATAAATTTCGGTTTTTAAATTCATCTATTCGTGTCGCGTTGTTTACCAACGCCTAAGGGATAGTGAAGCGAAAATAATACAGGTGGAATGGCACCACACTCAAAATCCTGATCTACCACGCTCCGTGTGTCTAAAAACTTATTAGGCCCCACTGAATACGCCTATGTATCTACGCTCGGCAGTCACAGGTGCTAAGTTGTTTTTCTTCCCATGTGCGCAAATACGGTTGCTTGTTTCGCAAACAATCAATTAGTTTCCGGAAATGTAATGGTTGTCTGAGGTTTCTTTGTGATGCGATTGACGATCGGACACTCTTCGTTGCTGGGATAAGGATTTTTGTATTCTGAGTAGTCTCCTTGAGCACGTTGTTTCTTGATTACCGTTGGTTGGATGTCACAGTTCGTCTCCTCTGGAAGAGAGATCACCCTTCTCCCAATTAAGACCAGTTCAATTCAGTCTTATGACATTTGGCTTGAATCTTGCGCACCATCCCTCCGACTTCACTCTCCTACGAAAAAATACTCCGGCCTTCTCCCGAAAGGAATTTACCCCAGCAACAAGGACAAAGATTCACCATTCATATTTTACTTTTCGCTACGTCATGGCACTAAGCAGGTACATGGCTACTCGCGGTACGTAAAAGTGCATCCAACGTGACCGAGGTTTCCAAGACTGATTTCGGCCATGTTACCTTTACACATTACAATGATCTCGCGTAATAGATCCCCAAAGGGAAGTCTCCTGCCCCGAAGAGAGCAGAGTAGAATTCTCTGTCATCCGCGATTCAGTGGATGGACCGAAGTCACTTTTGGAGGTCCATTTGGACACGCAGGTCTGATAATATACATACCATTGAAAAGTTTAATCCATCCTGAAGGGCATAATCATCTGTGCCACCCATTCGTTCCGTTCGTGGGCGGGGAATTCTTGAGATGGAGGTAATACACTACTCATAAGGTCACTCTTCGATAGCCCACGACAGGTTTCACCCTTTTTGGAGCCAATCGGGTGGTCCCAGTCCCCGAGTTTACGTCAACTTTATGTTTGGCTTGATTTTTGTGTAGACCAGCGGCCCTCAGACTCCACACCTCGTCGCTCCTTAGTGCACAGTGTAGGATTCCATAAACCAGTTTAAGTGTGGTGAACACGTAGAAGGACACTCCGCGTTGCGCGATTCTTCCGAAGGAAGACCACCCTCATCAGCTCAGTGCCTCATGCTAAAAATAAAATTCCGCTGACTGGTTCCAATAATCCAGAAAGGACGTGAATACACATTTTGAGTGGCGCACATACAGACGTTTTTCTACTTGTGATAATACTGGTGTTCTGAAGTAAGAATATGAAATTTTAGGCATGCTCGAAGGCCAGTACATGCACCGGAAATCCTTCAGAGAGTAGT